CGACCTTGCGTTTTAGGTTTGAGCGACTGGTTTTACTGTTTTTCCAATTTTGTCCTTAGGTTTGGGTGAAATGATCTCGTGAGGATCGTTTGCGATTCTGAGTAAGTCGTGTTATGGTTTGTATTTAACCTTACGGGTTTAACGAGGTTCAGGCTTGACCTCGGAAAGGTGTATAAGGTTCGTTTTCGACCTTACGAGTTTTGGGAGGTTCAGACTTGACCTCGGGTGAGCCTGTAAGGTTCGTATTTGACCTTACGAGTTTTGTGAGGTTCAGACTTGACCTCGGGTAAGCCTGTAAGGTTCGTATTCGACCTTACGAACTTTGCGAGGTTCAGACTTGACCTCGGATAAGCTTGTAAGGTTCGTATTCGACCTTACGAATTTTGCGAGGTTCAGACTTGAGCTCAGATAAGCTTGTAAGGTTCGTATTCGACCTTACAAATTTTGCGAGGTTCAGACTTGACCTCGGATAAGCTTGTAAGGTTCGTATTCGACCTTACGAATTTTGCGAGGTTCAGACTTGACCTCGGGTCGGTTGAGCCTGTAAGGTTCGTATTCGACCTTACGAGTTTTGCGAGGTTCAGACTTGACCTCGGGTAAGCCTGTAAGGTTCGTATTCGACCTTACGAACTTTGCGAGGTTCAGACTTGACCTCGGATAAGCTTGTAAGGTTCGTATTCGACCTTACGAATTTTGCGAGGTTCAGACTTGACCTCGGATAAGCTTGTAAGGTTCGTATTCGACCTTACGAATTTTGCGAGGTTCAGACTTGACCTCGGGTAAGCTTGTAAGGTTCGTATTCGACCTTACGAATTTTGCGAGGTTCAGACTTGACCCCGGGAAGCCTGTAAGGTTCGTATTCGACCTTGCGTTGTAAGTGCAAGCCCTTAGGGTGCGTGGATTCGTTCATGCAAAAGCGATAGATGAGGTAATAAATTGTGCAAAACGCGTAATTTTATTGATAGTTTTTGTGTGCCTCGTTAAAAACCCTCTCAGTCGAGGACTAAGGCGGGAAAAGAGTGCACAGTGTGTTCGTACTGATAGTAAAAGGGGTGTTAAAAACTTAAGGGTCTATAGTGAGGGGGTTCCCCTTGCTTTGCTTGCTTGGTGCGGAGATCCTTAAGCTTTCGGCGTAGCATTGCCGAGCTGTCTTCTGGTTAGCCTTGACTGAGATGACCTTGCCGTCCTTTCCTAGAAACTTCATGGTGAGGTGTGGAGTTGAGACAACCGCTCCGAGTTGGTTCAAGGTCGGCCTCCCGATGATGATGTTGTAGGAAGTATTGGCTTCCACGAGGAGGTATCGGACCATGACCCGTCTTGTATCTAGTGGTGTCCCGAAGGTCGTCAGCAAATCTACGTACCCCCGAGTATGGACTCGCTCTCCTACGAAGCCGACTAGAGGCTTCGTGTGAGGTTGAATGAGAGAGTGGGGGACGTCTTGTTTGAGGAAAGTTGGCCAGTATAGGACGTCAGCCGCGCTTCCCTGATCGATGAGGGTTTTTTGCACTTTCCAGTTGGCTATCTCCACAACGATGACCATGGGGTCATCCTGGTTAGGACTAAGGCCGGCGTAATCTTCGTCGGAAAAGGAAATTGGCGGTGAACTTTGGTGCAGGGCCGAGGTGGTTGAGTGGACACAGTTGACATTCCGCAAGTGTCTTTTTCGGGCCGAGCTGCTGGCGCCTCCTCCAGCGAAGCCGCCCGCTATTGTGTTGATTATTCCCCGTAACGGGGCTGATTCTGTCTCCTGGCTTATCTCGACTTGTACTGCGCCGCTAGCGTTTTGTTGGGGACCCGGGGGTGCATCGGTACAGGTTCCTGAGCCTCGCCTCCTGCTGCGTCCCCGGCCTCCATGGCCGCCTCTACTGCCCTGTTGTCGCTGTACATACTGGCCGAGGTGACCCGCTTGAATGAGCTCTTCGATGCGGTCTCGGAGTGTGCGACATTCCTCTGTGGTGTGACCATGGTTCCTGTGGTACCGGCAGTGCTTAGACGTGTCGGCGTTGTTGGGGGTGTTGCCTGGTGGTGGAAGGGCGAGCAAGTTGTTATTGTTGGCTTCCTCCAGGATGTGTACCCTAGGTGCCTTTAGGGGAGTGTAGAAATCGTATCTCCCTCCTCTGCTTGCTCTAGTCAATTTTTTAAAATGGCTGTCGTTGTTGACCTTGACCTTGTCCTTATGCCCTTGCTCCGACTTTGCTAGGATTTCTCCGCGAATCTGGTCGCGGAAGGCGGAGTGTTCCTCCATCTGGATGTATCCAGCTGCGCGGGCGCGGAGTTCATCCATGTCGCGGGGGGCGTCGCGACATAGGCTGTCAACGAATGGCCCGGGCTTGAGTGCCATGAGCATGGCGTGTAGGGCGACCTCCGGATTTAAATTTCGTATCCTCACCGAGATGCTGGAGAAGCGTTCCATGAAGGTTCGCAAGGGCTCGTCGTCATTCTGTCGGAGGTTGGCCAAAGCGGCCGAGGTAGTGTGATGGGGTCGGCAGGTGGCGTACTGCGCCATGAATCGCCTTACCAGTGTGTTGAAACTGTCGATGGATCTGGCGGGTAGTTGGGTGTACCAATGAAGTGCCACTCCCTTAAGTGAAATCGGAAAAACCCTACACAATATAGCATCACTGTTAGTGTAGAGGTTTACCTGGGTTGTGTACGAATCGATGTGTTCGTCGGGGTCTGTTGTGCCGTCATAGCGGTCGAGGTGGAGGGGTTTCCATCCGCGGGGTAGCGGAGTCTCCATAATGCCGTCCACGAAAAGATGACGGCGGAAGGGCTCTTGGCCTTCGAAAGCATGGGTGGGGGCTTTGCTGGTGTCCTGCCCTGACTTATACGTCAGTGCGTGAGATCGGTGCGTGGCAGGCCACGAAGTTGGTGCCTTGGTCGTCGCCCGAGATTGGGTGGCTGAATGTGCCTCTTCCTCGCGCGTGTTGCTCTCGTGGGGAGGCTGGTTGGAATGGTGTCGAGGGAGCTGGGAGCGAATGTGCTCGTTTTCGGCACGTAAGGCTGCGAGTTCTACTTCGTTGGCTGCTTGCATGGCTGCGAGATATTTTGCATGCTGAGTGCGCATGTTTTGGAGGTCGGCGTCGTGTTGTTGTCGCATCTGTTCGACCTGGTCGATCAGCCTTCTCAATGTTGTTGCATCGCTATCCATGGTGACTGAGTGGCTTACGTCGTCCGTTGCTCGTCTGATGTGGCTCCTAGTAGAAACCATACAGGTGGCCAATGAGAGCTGGTCTTGATCGGCCCCACGGTGGGCGCCAAATGTTCTTACCGGAATCTGGTCGTAGTGGTGATTCGTCCAGTAAGATCGGTGAGCCTCCTTCGCTGATGTATTGGTGCTCCGAGATGGGGGAGGTACCTGCAAAAGAGACTCCGATGCTAAAGTTAGGGTTTGTATGAGTATGAGTCTCGTATAAATAATGCACGTACCTTAGTGTGAATTAGGGTTGTTTTGGGCTCTAGGCCTGAGATAAGATATAATAAGATCAGATAATATATCTCGCCTGGGGTGAGATCCTTTGGGATCAGTTATGATTTACTTAGATGCCGGGCTGACGTCATGTAATGCGTGCCCGAGGTCATCCTGCGCCGTGGTGCCAAGCTCCGAGCTCGGTTTCACGGACCGGATAGTACACGGATGAAAAATTCGGTTCATGTAATCCATAAAAATTGCAGGAGCATTTGTCACACCAAAAGGCATTACTAGATATTCATAGTGTCCATAACGAGTCCTAAATGCTGTCTTAGGTACATCCTCACCCTTAACTCTAATCTGATGGTACCCCGATCTAAGATCAATTTTACTAAATACACAAGCACCCACCAACTGGTCCATAAGATCATCTATCCTAGGCAATGGATATTTATTCTTAATGGTCACCTTGTTCAACTGGCGATAATCTACACACAATCTCATGCTACCATCCTTCTTCTTAACTAATAGTACGGGTGCTCCCCAAGGTGATACACTAGGCCTCACAAACCCCTTCTCCAACAAGTCTTCTATTTGTTTCTTAAGCTCCACTAACTCTACGGGTGACATCCTATAAGGTGCAATAGAAATAGGTCCTGTTCCTGGTACTAAGTCTATGGAAAATTCTACTTCTCTTGTAGGTGGTAAACTAGACATATCATCAGAGAAGACATCCGAAAAGTCACACACAACAGGCAGTTCATTCACCAAAATATTACTCTCAGAATTCAAAGAAGCTAACAACATGTACACTTGGGCATCCTCTTGCAAAGATACCTTAACTTGGTTGGCAGTCAAATAATCCTTACTCACTTTTTCAACAGGCTCACCAAAAACAATAGATTTATCAGCACAATTCAAAAGGACATGATTGGAAGATAACCAGTCCATACCCAGAATAACATCTAGCTGACTTAGAGGCAAACAAATTAAGTCAACCATGAAATCTCTACCATCAATAATCAAAGGACACTTTAAACAGACATCAGAAGTAGACACTGAACCACTAGTTGGTGTCTCTACTATTAATTCAAAAGACAAGGAAGAAACAGGTAATTTTAATTTGGACACACACGCATGTGATATAAAAGAGTGAGTCGCACCAGAGTCATACAAAACAATTAGAGGAGTTCCATTGATGAAACACATACCCTGGATTAAGTCTTTGGATTGTGAAGCTTCAGCACCACTCAAGGCAAACACCCTTCCTGTCGCTCGAGGTTTGCTAGCACTCCCTCCAACCTCTGTTGTCTTGTTCTTGGGGCAATCACGAGCTCTGTGTCCCTTCTCTTGACATTTGAAGCACGTTATTACTTTGGGCAACGGACATTCATATGCCCTATGACCTGGCTCCCCACAGTTGTAGTAGTTGTTGTGTTGAACAGAACCCACACTTCCCCCTCTAGAAGTTTGGCTAGCCGTGGGAACTTGGCTCCTTTGTTGCACAGAACCTTGATTATTCACCTTAGAACTTGAGTCCCCAGGAAACTTGGTGTAAGGTTTACTCTTATTAGATGAACCAAACTTATTATTCCTCATGGGTCCCCCAGCCTCCACTCTTATAATGAGTTACCCTAGCACGGTTATCCTCATCATATACTCGACACTTGTTTACCAATTCGTGATAGTGAGTAATCCCTTGATAATTGAAAACTTGTTTAATCTCAGGGCGAAGACCACTCACAAACTTCACACATTTTTCCTCCTCATTGCCCACACCATCATACATAGGGCAGAATCTAACCAAGTCTTCAAACTTAGTCACATAATCAGCCACAGAATCTTCTCCTTGCTTCAATTCAAGGAATTCTACCTGTTTCTTATGTCTTACATCTCGGGGAAAGTATTTCTCCAAGAATAGCTGCTTGAAATTCTCCCAGTTCACATGGGTACCTGCAGCTATCATTCTTTGCAGAGCACCTTGCCACCAGATGCCAGCCTCTCCAGAAAGCATGAAGGCAGCCAAAGTCACCTTCTGTATCAAAGGACATCCCATAGCTTGGAATATCTTTTCCACTTCAAAAATCCAGTCAGCAGCTCCATCAGGATTATAACCCCCACGGAAGCTTGGCGGATTATTTCGTTGGAATCTCTCCAACCAATCTATCTCTGGTCGTTGGTTCAAATTACCAAGAGCCTGAGCCATCGCTTGTAGAGCATCAGCGATTGCACGGTCGTTCCTACCTCCTGCCATTACTTTTCTGATCTCCAGAAAAGTTAACAATTATACTATAAGTAGACAACAAACTTAATCAATCATAACACTAACATATCAACCAATTCCACAATCAATCATTCCATCAATTATCTACCAAACAAGCATAGTAGACTCATAACTCACGGCCGATTGGATCGACCTGCTCTGATACCACTAAATGTGACACCCTTACTACCCCAACATATATATTGTAATAATAAAAACTTATAAATAAAATTGTTAATTTCGGTAAAAGGGTTCACATGAGAATCTTCAAAATTATCCTTCAATAACCACAATAAAAAAAATGAAATGCAAGAGTTTTCAAATTGTTTTAAAAAATAACATTTACAATAAAAACCTATGTTCTAAAAATCCTTTGCCCCGATGTCACAATATCAGAGCATCCCGACAATTCAACTGTTGGCATTCTAGATACCACTCGTAGCCAGATCTTCCTCACCTAAAATATCCACAAATCGCACGGTGAGAAAAGAAAACATCTCTATATATGGCACATAAGAAAACACAACATATTATCTTATTATAATTTAATATTCATAAATATTTCAACATATCATATTTTAATCAATCATGCAATGTCATCACATCATAATTCTCAATCACACCAGCCACCACAAATCTTGCACTTCACACTATGCCAAGGTCACGCTACCCATTTAACAATCTCGGGCCGTGCTCACCCCTGATATAACACTGTGCCAAGGTCACGTTATCCCTATCCTAGGGTTGTGCTCACCCCTGACATATTAATCAAGGTCACGATACCCACGTAACAATCCAGAGCCGTGCTCACCCCTGATATAACACTGTGCCAAGGTCACGTTACCCCTAACCTAAGGTCGTGCTCACCCCTGACATGTTAACCAAGGTCACGATACTCATGTAACAATCTCGGGCCGTGCTCACCCCTGGTCATAGGTGTGAAGAACCACAACCACATCTCATTCACATTCCACACAACATCTCATAGTTCAATTCCATACACATATCAGATAAGTCCAAAATAATGGGTTTCATACATATCAAGCAATTCACATTTAAATCATCAATTTTTATCAAATAATATAACAATGATATTCATAAATTAATATAATAATCAATAGAATTAGAAATTTAATATAATTGCAGTATAAATAGTAAAACCCTCAATTGTTCCAAAACCTAACTCACAGGCACTTTTCTACAATTTCGTTCTCTCTCCCAGATCATCATTCTTACAATTTAAATATATATTTTTAATCCTCAATACATACGGAATCTAATGGTATAATTAATTCCTCAAACATAAATAATCCAATTTTTCCAAAACCTAACCTACATGCACTTTTCTATAATTTCATTCTCTCTCCTAGAGCATCATTCTTACAAAAAAATCATATATTTATTGTCCTAAATATATACAGAATCAAATAATGCCAATAATTCTTCCAACAGAAATAATTATAAAATTACTCATAATCCTAAGGGATTCTTCCTCTATCCAATTCCCTCATGTAACTCTATATGTAAATAATTCCCTTTTCCCCCATACCTGGATATGTAGAAGTTGAATCTACACTAGATCTGGTTGATCTCCCTCGCTGGGTTCCCCTCGGTCTGAAGCAGAAAGTAGAGGTAAGAAGAGAGAGAGCAGGAGAAGAGAAATCAGAAATCAGAGGTGTGCTTTTTGGGAGTGGCAAACAACTTTATTTATAGGCATTCTACGCTGGAACGGCCCGTTCCAAATCTGGAACGGCCTGTTCTGGACCCTTAAACCATGGGTAAAAATCACATTCAAAACGGCCCGTTCCGAAACCAGAACGGCCCGTTCTGGTGTGCATTAATTCCCCCCAATAGCCATAATTTTGGGAACGCCCCGTTCAAGGCCCGTTCCCATTTAGGGTTAATGGCATATTTAATAGTCCGGAACGGCCCGTTCCAACTTGAGAACGGCCCGTTCTGGGCTACTAAAACACACTTTCCCTGGTAGTTTGGAACGGCCTGTTCCAATTCCGGAACCGCCCGTTCCAAGCTACTGGAACGACCCGTTCCAATTCTAGAACAGCCCGTTCCAAGCTACTAAATCACCCCTATCACCTTTATAAATTTACCAAAATACCCTCAATTAAAATAAAATAAAATCGAAATAAGAAAAATGGGGTGTTATAAGGGACGTCATGAAGAGGAACAGAATTGGTATGTGCTCAAAGCCACGACCATACATCATTGATAGAACGATCAGTGTGCTTTGTGCTCGCTATCCCATCATATGGGCTAGATGCTATGTTCTGTAAACACCCACTACACACACCCTGGGATACTATAGACCAGTGTACATTTGGCTTGAGGAAGGCTCAACCATACTGGACGCTTAAGGGAATCCTCTACGTGATTCGCAAGGGAACACTCATAAGTATGAAGCCATCCCGTCCAATAAGCCAACATATGGACTAGAGTACTACTATCTGGAGCAGCCTCCTCCTCCGGCTCTATTCTCCATTCTTTTTTATCCACCTATTTTTGGACTTAAACAAGGATCTCATTCATCCTCTCCATCCTCTTCATAGCTAGCAAAAATCATCCTAGACATCCTCCGTTTGCGTATTTTCTGTTGAAGCACTTCCCTATACTTACTGTCACTAATTCTCACAATCAAACAATTGAAGACTCCTCTCTACCATGCCAAAATGCTCTTCCCATGCCAGAATATGAATATAAGGAAGGAGTGTACAAGTGCACACCATACTGCCTAGATGTACCCTTCTCTCTGTCTGAGGCCTATCTAGTTCTTTCGCCTGGTGTCATAATCGATCTTCCTCCACCAACCTTCAAGAGGAAGATCTATCTAGGAGGGGTGATCAAGTCCAAATTCGCATGGACTCCACCACAAGGAACCCCTCAACTCATTCGTCCTCTCCATCAACAAACTTCATCCTCTTCACCTTCCACAAAGAAGATCTCATCCTCCAGCCAACCAAGAAAGCCTCCATCCCCTCTACCAAAGGTATAATTATTTAATTCTCGAGCCAGATTTTTCCCCGTACATATAGGTCACTATCGCTCCCCCTCTACATTGGACCTTGCAACAATTGGCCATTTGCGCCTATGTATAGATACACCCTTATAATTGTACATACCTCCCTCCCTATTCACCCTTACGAAAGCACAAATTTCTGTCTATCCAGACCGCATTTGCCCTCGACTTCCTACAATTTATCAAAATAAGAAGAAAGAGCCTGCACTACATCTGGGCTCGATGCCCAAGCTAGCAAAGGTTGAGTTTCGCCACTATAAAGGAGTAAACTTGGACTGGCAACAAGACCCTATCAGGGCACTGCTATATACTAAAAATGATGCTGAAAAGTTCTATCAAAACTTTAGCATAAGTGTAGTCAAGAGGCGAGTTCGTCTGGTCTCTCAGATGATGAAAAGGCTAAGACGCTCATGTTGTGTGGGTATTGCTAGATGACCCATTGTAGAGTGATGTACTTCTCAGATACATCGGCAACCTTTCTTCAAAGGCGACGTGGGCCAGATCTTGACACTCTCAGCAAAGAATACCTTATCCATTTTGCGCTCTTCAATCTGGACTTATACAAGAATGAATGGAAGGCTATGACAGACTCATGGCTCAAAGCCCCAGTCTATGATTGGTGCAAGGACATTCCTTCATGGAAACCAGGTATGCCTATGCCTTGGGATATTCCTTCTGAAGTAACACCATCTGGTTCACCAACGTTTGAGCCGATCTCAACTGAGCCAATCTCAGAGTCTGCACCTATGGAAGAACCTTCATCTGCTTTTGAACCAACATAGTAGTATGTCTCTATTGAGACATTCAACATATTTAAAGAAGATATGGACAACAAGTTTGACAGGTTGTTCAACTTGATTGCTTCCAAGCTTTCCAAAGATCCACCTCTGTCTTAATGATCATATTAAGGAAGATAAGATAGTGGGTGCAAGATTAGTCATATTAGGGTGAGAAAAATGAAATGTATTTCTTTTTTGAATGTTCTTTCTGTACACACTCATTATTCCATTCAATACACATTCCCTTTTCACATCTCAAATTTCTTGTTCTAATTATCTTATTATTTTACGTTATAAACTTGGTTTATCATATCTTCACCTGTTCCACATTTCTTTTTGATGATTACAAATGGGGAGAAATAGAAAAGAAATTAATCAAATAAGAATAAAAAAAAAACATAATCAAGTAAGGGGGAGAGTATATACAAAGGGTGAGAGTTGTAATACATTGACAATATGCAACTTGCTCTAACTGGCAATATGCAACTTTCTCTAAAGTACGATTTGCTCTGATTTAGAAGATCTAATCTTATCTTAAACAACTTGATCAATTATATTTGTCATCATCAAAAAGGGGGAGATTGTTAAGTCAAAAGTTTTGAATAAGACAAATATAATACATGTTATTATTACTAACAAGAAAGTGTAGTAGTATTTCAGGTATGTATAAAAACAGGGAAAATCAAAGTATGAAGTAAGGTCAAGCAAAACAAGGATCCGACAAAACAAGCATATGCATCAGATGATACAAGACGATAATTGGAAGCTTCATATAGACAAGTCAAAACAAAGCTTCAAGCATCAAACAAATACGAGTTAAGTCAACAGGACTCAGATGAAGATTGATCAAAAAAATCAAAAAGAAAGTCAAGAATTGAGATGCACAAGGACTACCAGACGGAGACCAAGACTGCCATGAAAGCATATGAAGAATCAAGTCT